ACGAATTTACTCGTCCCTGACAGTCGTTTGTCTGATCTATCGTTCCCGCGGGATCGTAATGGAAAAGTTCGCTATTGATTGTGTTTTAATGGCAAGAAAAGTGGAATCAAAAGTGTAGGATATGCTATTGGTTATAAAGATTTGAAATCACGACGTGTTTGGTAGAGTTTTTATGAAATTTTTTGTAGAACTTTTACAGGATCTTTTATAGAAATTTTATGGAATCTTTGTATAGACAATACATAATCTCTCTTATCTTGACTATTTTAAACTTCTATATCTTGTAGAATTTCTGGACTATTTTTTAGATTATTTTCACGCTTTTATATAACAATTCTTGCAGGATCCTTTATAGAATTTGCAAAGGATTTTTTAATAAGATAGGACCACTTGTAGATCCTTCTATCTGTTGTAATCTAGAATATCATATGTGTATATGTAAGGTTTTGTATAAAAATTTTTGTACACCTTGTAAGATTTTTTTTATAAATTTTGTACAGAATCTTTATATAGTTTGTATAGAGTCTGTATAGAATTCTATAATTGAGATACATAGCTTCAATTTTCAGTAATTTCGAGTAAATTTGCAAGAACGAATTGCATTATTATTTGAGAATTGAATATCACCATGAATTTAATTTATTCTTACTAATCTATGATATTAATTAAAATATTAATTTATTTGATAGAAATTATTATTTATTCATTAGATACACAAAACTATTAATAACTACCATCCACAGACAGAACGAAAACTATACACCGCTGTTACTTTCACTTTTACCTGAAATATCCAACGAATCTCTAATTATACGCAAGAAACGCAGGACATTCGTTCTGATTCCTTTCGAAACCAATATGGAGGTGACGGGACGAAGCGGAGAAATCGTAGCCACGCGAGCGCCAGGAGGGAATCATATCGCGATTAAAGGCTCGTAGCTCACTGAAAACGACAGTCTTGGCTTATCGTCGATTGGAAAGCACGTAGGTGATACCCGGGGTGGTGGGAACCACACAGAGAAAAACCCTCTGGCTCGTTTAATTGGAATCCTCTGTCACGTTCGAGACAACAGGCCCCTCCACCCGAGTCGCTGATTAATTTCGCTAACAATTTCCGTCCGCTATTACAGAGAACCGAGACTCGAGTGTTCACCCTTGACTCGAGTATTCGCCAACCTCAAACACGGAAACGGAGTGTTTCCGATTAAATTCTCTGATTGTTCCTCTTTGAAGATCTTTTTTTT